TTCTCTCCGTCTTTCTCCTGAATAGATTTACCCCCCCCTCAACCTTCGCACGAACTTTCCTCTCTCTCCCAATCCTAACAACTCCACTTCCACTTGTACTTCCTCCACCACCAGCAGATGCACGCCTAAAAGTCTCACCTAGCTCCAACGCATCTGCTCCCATTGTCGGGATACGGTGTACAGCAGGAGAGTGGTGGGAGAGGAGGAGGAGGGGGTCAGCCATGCTCGGTTCCTCGTCGCCACCTTCGGATGATCTTACCTTCTTTCCGTTTCTGTTTCTAGTTCTGGTAATATGTCTGAGTCTGGTGATGATGCTCCCCCTCTTCTTGGTGCCGGTCCTGACACTCCCTCGAGACATCATATTGATTTTCAACCAACGCCTCAACTCCAACACCAAGCCGTGGCCTGAGATGCTGCATAACAAACCCAGAATCGGTCACCGTCTTCGCAACGCACCCACGGAAAGAGGTGGGGGGGCTAAAAGAAGGTATTGTCCGTCATGCGGCGGGAGAGGAAGGGGACATGCGTGTTGTTGGCTTGGACCGCCTACACCCTGCGGGATTGGAATGGGATCACAGAACCTGTAGATCCTCTTGGGAGGGAAGACAACGTAGAGGCGCATGGCAGTATCCAATTGGAGCTCGAGCGAATGGAAGGCCCATGCCTGTGACAGCAAATGGGGACCCAGAATGCGTAAAAACGAACGGCGAACCCATGTTGAAGGAAATGTGACACAGTAGAGACAAACGGAGACACCGTAGGTAGTACCAACTTCGGAGAGTGCGAGCCAGGGCCTGTATCGTCCTCTCCATCTTTACCCCCATTCCCAGACGTGTGAAGGAAGACGGAGACCTCAAAGGCGGCACTAGCGAAGGGCTACTATGCCTACGCTAGGAAGCTTGAACTTCGTCGGGGACACCTGTCCACTTGGAGATGACGTAGACGGGGCATAGTGGCGCTGTGTGAGTGTGGTAGGACTTTGTGGTACGGTGAAGAGGAGAAGAGGGAATGGATGCCTGTGGATGTCGTTCTTATGGCGTAGGGGTGTGCGTTTGCTAGTTTTGTGGCCTTTGACTAGGGTTATGTTTGCCAGTGGGGATGACCCTGGAAGCGTCTTTGACACTTTGGCCGGTGAATTGGCGTGGAATGAAAAGGTGAATGGCGTGGACGTCGAGGAAATAGTCTAAAACTGATGTCACCACGACTCACTGCCAGCCCCATGGCCAGGCTCGAGTCTCGACTTGCGAGTCGTTACAGTCGACATTCTCAGACTGAGGTTGAATGGACTTCAATGGAGTCGGGCCCAATGTTACTTGCACAATGATACTTACGTGAATTATACTTGGTACGCTGAAGGAGGAGAAGGACTGCATAGATTTTGTGCCGTAGTATACAAGATGGTTCGAAGGTAGCCAATGGTGTTTCGTGACATAGCATAGAATCAATTAACCAAAAGAAACTCACACCACGCCGATACCTTTTCTGCCATGTCGACTTCATAATCCACGGCGGTCTAGCGCTCTTCAGCACTTAGAACTGATGCTCTGGCAGGTGACGGTGCGAATCCCGCGCTTGGATCGGACGCCTGGCACCACCTGTCTCGCTGCTGCCATTGCGCTCCCAAATCCACACTTTGACGTCAGATGGTCCTTGCCAATGGCGATACAAATCCTCAGGCTCAAAGGTCCAACACGGGGTTTTCGAAGGTCGTGAGAGGCGCCGTTGGAGGAAGCGATATATCGGACCTTGACGTCGTCGACGTAGTCGTGGTCATCATAACCGTCATCATCGTCGCCTTCAGAGCTCGTAGTCCAATTCCCAAATAGGCGAAGGCGATAAACTTGAATGCACATCTTCAGCGTCAGTGAAACATAATGAAAGGGGGGTGACAATACCTGAACGACGAGCCGGTGTCGTAGGGAAGGCCGCAATCTTGAGGAGTAATTGAAGGGTGGGAGACGTGATCAAGAGGCAGTTTCCAACCCTCTTTGGGGTTGCTCGCTGCCTTCCCGAGGATTCATCAAAGGTTGGTAACTACAACCCAGTTCCATGCAAGATCGGAGACCGGGAACCGAATGTGCAGTCACTTGTTGAAATCCAGGTTCCCAAGGTTCCCTTAGAGACTGAGCACTACGATCCACGTGAGGATCCGGGTGAGTCTTAGACCCAACGAGAATTCCATGCTGAGCCGACGCGAATTGGGTGTTAAGCAATGTCCCTCCCCTCCCCTGCTTGATGACATATTGAATATGTACCCTTGAAAGGCAGAATCAGCGAAAGGACTTACCAAAGAAACATCCAAGTCTGAGTCCAGGTCATCCAAGATCTCAATAAAGAACCTCTGAACATTCTGGGTATCGCTGAGGTGATTCTGGAGCGTATGGTGTCCACGATCAGATAGACCATCGTGTAGTGTCGGGCGGTCAATGTATCCTTTGTGACTTGTCGTTAGGCCTTCGTCCTTCAGGGTATCATCTGTCATAGATATAGCGACCCGTCACATAGAAGAGGTGATGATGAAGATGATAGTGAGCAGAAGGATGAAATCAAGGCAAGCTACCGCCAATGGTATGGCAGGAAGGCAAGCATTCTGAAGATAGGAGATGGGTGGTCGAATAGTGGGGAGAGATAGAAAGGACGTCCTTTGAAATCATAGCTGTATAAAACGGAAAGAAGAGATCGATAAAGGGAGGACGCGATACTTACGTAAGCCATTCCAATGGTCAAGTAGTGTTGGTCAAGCGTTTCGTGTTCTTGCAAGCGTACTATGCAGCTGAGCGTCCAATGTCCCATACCCTATGATGTTG